GCTCATTCTACAGAGAGTTAAGGGAGGTTGATGTAATTATTATTTAGACAGCTAGTTACTGTAAGCACGGCTCCAAGAGGCATCTCATTTCCTTCTTTTTCCTAATGATTACACTCCTGGCCTTTCTTAACTGGAAATGAAAAAAGGAAATTGGTGTGTACTCTTCGGCTGCTTTTTAAATTGGCTCTGTTGGATAATTATGTATGCTCACCGAGATTGTAGAATTCATGTGCAAGTCTTTACTATTTTGTCATTTCGGGTTGTGGAGTTTTATTAGAGCAAACAGATGTAGTGAAGTAGCACTTATCTCTACTTTAGATCTTAAAAAATATATTACTGTTTCAATTATTTACACATTTAAGCTTATTTTCCTGATCTCGTTTGACACACAGTCAGAACGGTGCCGCAGTAGTTAGGCCTGTCCCCTCGCAGTGAGGAAATACTTGCTGGCTTCGACCTTGTGGCTGGCTAAAGCCTTTTTGGTGGAAAGTTTACATGTTCTCCCTGTGGGTGCATGGCTGTTCTCCAGTTCCCTCCTGACGTCCACTAACATGCATGTTAGGTTGCATTTCTAAATTTGTGTGGTATTTCTCTCTGTGTTAGTTGGATGTGAGAACTCCACCTTCGCCCAGTGTCTGCAAAAATATCCCAGTGTAAACCTGGTAAGATGAACAGTAAAGTAAGTGAATGGATGGCTGTTTGACACAGATGACCCTTTTAATGATTGCAACAGAACCAAAACCACAAAGAAAAAAAATTCTAAAATGTCCTTCTTTGTTGGAATAACTGGTTAATATCAAACAGCTCTAAGCTACTTTCATTCCAGGGATCTAAGGCTTGTAAAGAAAGGTGCATCACCCCAGCTCTGCAGTTCAACCAGCTCTTATCACATCTCATCAGCCTGTTAAGTCACTGGTCCATAAAACTGTCTCAAGTGTGATACACCATCATCACATCACACCCTAATTTTCTCGAAAAACATCTTACAGCTGAACAAGCGTGCTTTGCAATGCATAACCAGAATGCAACGATGAATTAGGCACCGGGGGACACATCTTACTCTTGCCGCTTACCCACAACTACAATCACCAAGCCAGCCCGAGCAGAGAGGAGCTGTCTCTTGACAGCAAAGTGTTGCGCACTTTGTGATGTCAAGTTCCTAATTCGCTCACCAACATCAACTCATAACAAGACAGCATGCAGCGTTTTAAAGTGCGCTTTCACATGGACGGTGTTTGCTTATTATGCAAGCGAGTTAGTCAATCTGGAGAACAATGCTGAATTTGGATAATTGGGTGGCGTGTGTGTTTATGAGTGTAGGAGTATGTCTGTCTTGACTGTACGTCTACAAGAGCTCGCAGAATGCAAAATGACTCCCAGAGCTGCCTTTGTCTCCCTCGGGCCTCAAAGACTTCCCAAGCTGAACAGCTCAAGCTAGGCTGCCTCCCTCTCAGGGTCCAGACTGGTTAACAAGCAGCAAAATAAAAGCCAGCAAGTTAAATTGTATGTAACTTTTTAGTTTGCACAAATAGTGTGACCTTTATTGATTTCTTGTCTCTGCCGTCAGCCTGGTAAAACACTAATGGCATTGGTCAATAAAAAACCATGAAGTGGAAGTTCTCAATACCCCTCCCCCTGCGCTGACCATATCCCTAAAAATAGCCACTCAGCCTCCCTCAGAGGCCACTGAGCCCGAGCCATGACAGCTCACTACCCTTATTCAATATGAGCTGTACTGTGTCCCTGTTTGTTTCCCCACTGCAGATGTAAGCGGGCTGACACGCTGAGCCATATGCCAAACACATCTACTTCGATTCCTGTCCCTGCCAACTCCCATTCAGATGGCCAGAGAACCCTGCCTCTTTTAATCAATAAATTAATAACACTATGAGTGGAGCATAAAATAAGACTTTGACTTTGGTGCGCAAATTGAAAACAAACAGCAGCTTCAGCAACTCTAACTTACATGGTGTTCTGGGACCTACTGCTTCAAAGAGTAACATTCATTTTTCAAAATGCCTTGTGTCTATGTAGTCACCACCCGCCGTTTTATTGACTGGTATGTGTCAATGTGTACCCCTGCCAGCTTACGTCTTTCTCTCTATACTTGCGCTTATTGAACTTTGCAAAAATAAATTATATGAGCAGAATTCAATAAAGTTGAAATGACCTCCACTTCTCTCCCAGAGAAAACAGCCATCTTCTCTTTGTAGCCCATGTTTTTTCTCCAAACTTCTTAACGCTGAACTTTGTTGACCAGTCTGTTTCTGCTGCACGTTAGGCCCTTCGGAAGTGAGACTCGCATGGCTTTTCAGGTGCGCCGCGGAATTCAAAACAACAGGGGCTGCTGAAGGTGGTTCACTTACACAGTGATGCAGATATTCAGAAGTTAAAGTTCTGGGAGAGCACCCCTGTGGTGCCATTCCTCCACGATGAGAGAAGCAGCAGCAGCAACAGCCAGCAGTATCGATTCACCTCGCAGCCTTGAGCCTGCTGTCACAGACAGTATATCACTTCATTTAACCCACTGTTAAATAGGCTGTAATTAGAAATCTGTCCTGCAGATGTGTTTTATTTAAAGGATGGTTTGTGGCTAAGTTGCAAAACTACCTACTCTGTTTTGCATTAGTTTTGTTGCTGGCGTTCTTTTGTTCAGCGTTTCATTTTCACGAAGGATTTGAGTGCTATTGACAGAGTCTGCAAAGAGAAAGCAAATGATGCAAATAAATCCCCTCTTGGGGGATTAGTCTGCATGCTATTTGAAAAAAATATGGTAAGTCTCTTAATTGTAGTTAATGCTTGTTGGTCTCTCGACTCAATCGGATGACAATAAACTGTTTTTACAGCCAGCATTTTAACTTTGAAAAGCACAGGTGAAGTAAAATCCTTTAAGTTTCCATGTAAGCCATGACAACAAGCCCGGCTGCACACAGATCACAGATTTTGTATCAACAGTTTTGTTGTATATGTGCAATGACAATAAAGAGCTATTCTATTCTATATCAACAAGCTGATATTATTGCTCTGTATGTTGATCCAACAAAAAGCTCTTTGCCTAGTTTCCTTGTGGTTACTATTCTTTCAAAGATTAATCATAAAATTCTGTCTTTTGGATGTTGTATTATGAATTCGTTGTGGTGAGGAAGAACAAGAAGTTCAATGCTCACTTATTTGTCTACAGTAGTTGATATTTTGCTGAAAATTGGCTATTGAAGAAGAGGGTCTGTATCTTTCCACGCTCTCTCTCTACAATACTCGCATGCCTATGCTCATTAAAACTGTACATGCAACTTACAATGAAAGCGTTGAAAGTGTTATTGATCCCTGCATTCATTCCTCCTCTCAGCACCGGCTGTAAAGTGATCTCTTTCAGAGCAAGTAAATGAAGGGGGGAGAAAATCCACAGTCTTTGCTCAGTGCAGAAATCCTTTTTCAGCTCAGAGACCTAATATTAAGATTCGGGAACCCAAATTAGCCAAATGAAATGGCGATCTTCTAAAGGTACATTTTAATTAGAACAAAAGTTCTGCTGAGCTTTTCTGTGCTGTGATAACTTTGTAGGCACAGAAACAGAAAAATGGAATGTCTTACTAAAAAGCCAATCTTTGATTATTTGATTTAAGAACAACCTTTGGATACTGTTACAGTTCCATTAATTCAAATACATGGTAATGGCCTGCACCATAGCACTGTTTAACCTTCAGCTGTTTTAATTTAGAGAAAAAAGAAATAAATGTGTTCTTTACCCCTCCTGATGGTCCTTTAAAGACAAAACAGTGTTGTGGACAACAGAGGGTTCATTCATTGTTTACACACTGAGAGATTGACAGCTGGCTTCCACATTTAAAATTTTAAAATGTGATCAAACTTTAAGAGAAGATATTTTATAAATTACAGCTAGAAATATGCGAGCGTAAATAGTCGGGCTATTCTGCTGCAGACTTGCATACTGGGGCGCTTAAACAGAACAGAGCTGTCATTATTGTAATTGCTAACACCTGTGTTTTCCCCACTGTGAATGTCAGCTGTGGGAAATAATCTCTTGAGTAATTTTCTTTGTGCTGCTACTTTCACTAAAGTAAAGGTTTTGCCTTCAGTCTTGACAGTGATGATTGAAAACAAAACAAAAGCAAATCCATCTTTAATGTTTTCATTTTTTTTGTTGTTTTTTTTTTTTGCCAAAATGTCTTTCCTGAGTTGAGCTGAACCCAGCTACGTGGGGCCACAAGAGAGTAGGGAACATGTGGAAGAGAGCCTCGACAGGTGGAGGTATGCCCTGGAGAGAAAAGGAATTTAATTGAGTAGAAGCAAGACTGACTACACGTGTGGATATATGAGGGAGACTGGTGGAAAGGTGGATTATTGATAGTCAAGGTGGAGGAGTGTAAATACTTGTGGTCAGACATCCAAAGTGACAGACAGTGGACAAGAGAGGTGAAGAAGAGAGTGCAGGCAGGGCGAGATTTGTGACAGAAGCATAGCAGCAAAGAAAGGGAAGGTTTGCAAGATGATAGTCAGACCTGCTGTGATTTATGGAGGAGGCAGAGCTAAAGATGTTAAGATTTTCAGTGGGAGGAACCAGAATGGACAAAATTAGAAATTAGTATATCAGAGGGACAGATCACGGTGAGCTGTTTGGAGACAAAGTGAGAAAGAAAAGGGTGAGACGGTTTGCACATGTGGAGAGGAAGGATTTTGGACAGTGGATGTTGAATATGGAGCTTCCAGGCAGGAGGAAAAGATGGAAAATATGAAAACCTCAGAGAAGGTTCGTGGATGTAGTGAGGGAGGACATGCAGAGGGTTGATGTGACAGAGGAGAATGCTGGGATAGGGTGGGATAGAGGCAGATGATCCGCTGTGGCGACCCCTAAAGGAAGCAGCCGAAAGAAGTCTTTTTTGAGTTCGAGTACATCATAAACACCACTGGGTGTCGCTCTATAGTGTCTCATATCGCTTCTGCGCGCTTATTTCACCAATATCAACCCCCTCTTCCTCGCTGTGTGTGCGTGTGTGTTGTGTGTCGGATAGAAAGTCAGCCTGGTTTCCAGCTGAGTGCTTGCTCTCTCACAGTGTGTGTGTGTGTTGTCATTATTATCCACTCTGCTCCCAGCTCAGAATGGCCAGATTCACTCAGACTGAAACAAGAAGGCAGCACCATCCACAGCAGCCCCAGCCCTCTCACTCCAGCCTGGTTTTCACCGGACCGGGGGCACCACCGACCCAACAACCACTACTACTTATCCCACATCAGCACCAGTACCCTCAGATCACATTTCCGAAACCCATGAACGGGTCAGAACCCATTTCAATTCATCCGGAGAGCGGCAACATGAAAGACCAAGATGCCATTAAACTGTTTATCGGGCAGATACCGCGGAACTTGGAAGAAAAAGACCTGAAACCCCTGTTTGAACAGTTTGGGAAAATCCACGAACTGACAGTTCTCAAGGACCGATACACCGGCATGCACAAAGGTAATGTGTCGCCCCTCGAATGGCTGAGAGGCCCATATGAAGCTTAATATCTGCTTATTAGTATCTGTACGTACTGAACTGATTTGTAGTGAAATGCGGATTTTTGTCACTTTTATTTTCATGTTTAATCGGGCTTAATCGCTCAGCTGTCAATCCCCCAAATAATCTGTATCGTTATGCTCATCACTGCTCATATTTCTGTATAACATTCATGAGGTTTGGCATTTTGCTCCAGTTGCTTTTTTTGTGCGTAAGGCAAGTTTTTAGCTTTTTAGTAATTATCAGATTGGTTTGACGCGCTTTTGTATTTCTATCTCTAAATTTCAGTATTTATTATGACCACAAAAAGAAAGATTTGCACATATTTTGAGTGTTTTGAACACGAGGAACAATTCTTCATTTTATTGCCTTTGAGTGTTTCCTTAACACGCTCCTAAGTGGGGCAGAGGCGCTCGGAAAGGATGCATTTTTCAACAGCCTCCTCTTACCAGTCCCATCTTTTGCGGAGGGGCGGCATCATTTATTCATCCATATGCTTTCTTTAACATCTCCCCATGTGTAAATAGAGCGGGCTGGGTGCAAACGCGACACGGCGAAATCAGTTCAATTCTACAACGTCTCCAAAGGGCGCACGAACTGTCACAAGATGACGGACGTCGCCACGGAGAGTGGGCAGTGATGCTTCTGCTGAAATGGAAGCAGAGGGTGTAAATCCACTCAGGTCACTATACATACACTGACAACTTCCATCTTCCATAATGAAGTTGGCTAGCAAGAATATAGATCACTGCCTGGGTGGGAAAAGCATTTCACGATACAGCCCCCCCCTCATACCCCGCACCCCCCATCCCCTAGATTCAAGCAGTGCAGACGTCATCATTGTCATCGTCATGACCCGTGAACCCTCACCCAACCTTTAATTTAGACCTGAAGTGCATAACCCCAGAGCTGCACTGGTTTAGCTGATCAGTGACATTCAGGCTTTGACTATAAGCACTGTGATCACTGTTAGTTTCATTGTAACGGTCAGGCCAGTGCACTGTCCACAAAGTTTGCAACATCTTATTCATATAACGACAAAAGGGCAATTGCATACTTAATGCATTTGGAGAACATTTATGGTGATTTCATTGCTGACACATAGAAGTCACAAACAAAAGCATGCAATGGCCTCGACTATCATTTAGTCAAATCCACAGTTATAAAAAACCCTTTTCTTTGTGTTTTTCCACACGTGGATTCTTCATTTCGCAGAGCAGATGCAGATGTGTGAAGGATGTAAGCACAGGAGATAAGCCTTTTATTACAGTGACATTTAGAAAAGACAAATGATAATGTATGATAGTAAACATTACAAACCCTGTCATGTCATGCATCAAGTCACCATCGAAAGATATTAAATTTGTTTCTGCTACAAAGGTCGTCCCCATCTCCTTCAGAATAATTAATACAAGTCTTTGTGAGGGTTTCAAACCAGGATACAGTTACAGTATATAATAATAATAATGTTTGCCACATATTTTATGACGGTCGTAAAGTTGATGTTATTGTTGTGGAAGTCATTTCTTCAGTATTGCACTGATCTGGTTTGCTTTGGATGTGTGTGTTTTTGTGCTTGTGTTCATGCATATACTAAAATGTCATTTCACCCGTGTTGCAGTGATGGCAGTATTTTGGGTCCTGAATGCTGTCACCTTATCGTGCTATCAGGGAAAAAACAATTTAGGCTTTCTACATAACATAAACAGCACATTTCCATTACGCATACAAAAACACTGATCTTTGGTAGACATGTATATAATTCAAGTGAAATATTTGACATTTGTCTAGGCCATAAATTAGATATGTCATAATTAGCAATTATTTTGTCAATTAATACAGTGATAAACTGCTTAACTACATTGTTATTCATTTGAAAAGGTTTTTTGTTAGATTTCCTCGTAGCATTATATTATCATCAATGTATTACATCATTCTTGCCCTGGTGGTAAAGTAGAAGAAGTGGGAAAATGTGTAATTGAGATGTACTGCTTGCTTTCGGTGAGACTCTGTATGATCACCCTCCTCAGTTCTCTTGTCAGTTTGAAATGCAAAACTCAAAAGAGCCTTTCAACAAAGTGAAATCCCTTAAAAATATCCAGTGAGCCTTTATATCTGTTCATTGTGCATTATAATTTTTTTTTTTTTTTGCATTTTACTAAACAAAAAATCTTGTTTAAATGTAGCTGGATAATCCTCTCCTTCTGATCTAGCAAAAATGCTAAAAATATGATTCCAAATGCATTTCTCATGTCATTATTTACCCTGAATTTTAACGTACAAACCGCTAATTAATTTTAGATAAGCATAGTTCAGTCAAATTAAATGAGTTTGGATGTAATGAAGCCTTGTTGCACAATTAACAATACAAAATCAAACTCTAATGTGTCAGTGATCCTTGATGAGGTTATTTTATAGTTAATCACGTTATTAAGCAGAAAAAGGATTATGGGGTACGCATCCTGATGGAAACACTGGGCAAGCACCCTCAATGTGGCACATTCACACTAACAAAGACATCGATGGACAGAGGAACACACGCACATACACACATGTGCACATGCTATTTTCATTATACTAAGTGTTGTGCATTCGTAGCCATTGTGCTTATTCTGTCATTTGGATTTTTTGGATTTTCATTTCATCCACATTGTGCTCTCTGTGTTTATTTCCTCTTTTCTTATGCAACTGTTTTTTCCCCTTGGTAATCCGAGAGGGAAAACATGGAATTAGTTTGTAAAGCGTGATAATAATGCATGGCCATAATAACTTGACTCAAGAGGATTAGCAAATGTGCATTGTCTGAAGCAGCAGTCTCTTGGGTGATCAGCTGGTTGCCTCCCTAAACAGTGGCTGCCTCTGCCAATTAAAAATTCAGTCTAGCCTGCCTCTTCAAATGATTAATTCTGCCCACGCTGTCGATGGCCTGCCAATTATTGTCGCCCAATTGGTATTAATAAGTAGAGGATTTCCTGATGTTGAATTTATCACAGACTATGAAAACTTCTCCCTTTGGCTCTAATTACCTTTGACTAGCACATGCAGAACAAATACATACATGCATATATGCACTTGCATATATCCAGAACCAGTGTTCCTTTTATGCATTGTGCCTGTTATGTTGCTTGCTATATCAAATTCTTTAATTAAAAGTGCAGTTGGGTAGATTATATCATGTGAGTTTCCACAATGCACTCAGATCAGAGAGGAAATGTATAATTTAGCACAACAGGTAGACGCACAGACAAAAAAAAATCCCTAGGTTGCTCCATTCTGCCGAGTAAGGCTGCCTGGATATCAATACTAAGCTTGTGTTGAGTATTACTGTGTTAATGCATTTATAAATGGAGATATTGCCGTAGACCCCAGCAAGCAGAAGCACATTAAATCACAGAATAATCTAATGAAATATTTATTCAAGTTTTTATTTTTTCCTTCGTCTGAAGCAGTCTGATGGATAGGGTTTCTCTGTAAGTTGTGCTCCTCAAAGAATAAAGAAGGAAGGAAGCACAGCTAGTTGGAACAAAGCACATTCATCAAACCAGAACTATACATTCCAGTTTTCCTTTATGAAGATGGAGCTTAAAGGCAACAGCACTGGTTAAACCAACCGTTGGTTTGTTAAAGCTGCTTTCTTCCTTTGATATTATGGAAGTACATGCACACATTTCCATATTATGTGTGCCTTATGGAAAGTGTCAAAGATCACGGCACTGCTGTAGGACAGCATCCCTCCTGGGGAAACAGATGGGAAAAATTCGCTTACATCCATAAACAGAGCTGTAGATACGACATGGACTGTACAGAAAGACCCAACTGTGTTAATATTACAGATTTAATAGACAGCTTTGGAACTTATTCCTTTTTGACATTATTGCCTATTTACTAATGAAATGAACCAATATCATAAATGCCATGAAAGCTACACTCCGTTCCAGCTGTGCGTGTGACCTCTGAGTCACCTGAAAAACAATTCTCGGTCTCCGTGCAGTTTTGTGCAGTGATTCGATTGAACAAATCTAGAATAAAATCTCCTGTCAGAGTCTAGTGAGCGAAGGCCACCGAGCCAAGCTAATGCAGTAACAACACTCGCCTCGCAATCTTTAAACGTCTGTAAATATTGTAATAAGCAACAGGGCTTTCCTCATAAAAGATGCAGCAGCTCAACGGGTACTGACAGGCGCTATGGGCCTTGACTTCAGGATGAGGAGTGCTGCCTCCCTCTCTCTCCTGCTCTTTTCTGTTGGTTTCCCAAGCAGATTGGCAATCTTAGATGGCAACAAGGCTGGGCTCTGCTGGAGGTTTGTATCTGCTCACCAGGCTCACCTGACTTTTATTCCGTCTCCGCTTCCCTCTCTTTTAATACCTGCCCAGGAGAGCCTTTCAGATGGATTGATTTCCTGCACCAATGCAACATTCATTATTGCTTGCAGTATATTATACTTTCAGTTTGTTGGAAGTGCTGTTACACCATGACCTTTGTGGAATGTGTTTGCTGTAAATGGGTGCCCAGAATGGGAACAGAGATGGGAAAATGAGCAGTGAGGTCTAACTCATTAATAAAACCTCTAATGTTTTTGCATTTCATTAACTCAAGTAAATAAAGCTCTTTGGTCCTTCATTCTACATTTTCTGGACAGTGTTTGTGTTTCAAGGGATGGTGGTGATGCCATGGTGTTTTAAAAAGTTATATTGGCAAGTTGACTGTTTTGATGACAACCTATAATAATCGATGCGAGATGGAAGGCAATTTTAATTTGGTAGCACTGTTGATTTGATGAATGTGCTACTGGCTTTTTCCAGAAATTTTAAACGGAAAATTTTTGAGTTGAATTATTTTTGGCTGTTTTGTGGACACATTTCTTTTCTAAAGGTAGAGTTGGCAGAAGCGCTCTGCCTTCCTGCTCAGGCTCAAAGGTCAGAGCTATTTTCTTAGTCTAAATAGAGGGAGATAGAAGCCT